GAGAACCGCAAGCTAGATCTAAGCATTATAGACAAGATTCGCGCTCGTAAGATATAGTATATCTTTATATTACTAGAGACCGCCTCTCTACCTAAAACGAGAGAGATTCTACGCGAAATTACGGACTGTATTAGACTCGTAGTTATCGACGAGCTTTACCTTGTCTATAAATAGGGGTCTGATTTTCGCAAGGAGTTCGGCTAGCTATAGGAATTACGTAATATCCTTCGGTTTAATACGGTTATAATCGGTGCCTCTACGACTGTTTCCTATAATACGATAGACTTTGTATTATAGAGGGCAGGCTTCAGAGCGGTCGGTAATAAGCGATTTAAGATATAGATTATTCGCGGTAGTATCGACCGTCCTAATACGTCGTATATCCTTAAGAAGATCCTCTAAGAACGACTTAGTATACTATAGAATTGTCTGTACTAGCTTCTAAAGTACGTAGTAAACGAAGCTAGCGAGGCGACCCCCGAAAAGATCGACAAAGCGCTTTGTTTTATCGATAGTATCGGCTTCGTAGATAGTACTGTTCAGCGCTTCCGCTAGTAGCTAGTAAACATTACGAGGGATATCGAGGATCCGACGAAGAAGTATACTATAACTAGCGCTAATAGAAGTTATAATATAACTAAGGTTATTAGCTTCTATATAGCCTACGTCGCTACTATAGACTAAGACCTCCGATACGACGAGTTCAAGACTGTAGGCTCGACTATACGAATCCTATAGGGTACGCTAGCGATTGCTACTAGTACTAACTTCCCTAATGTTAAGTTCGTCGTATAGCTAAGGAATGCTATTACGAAAGATATTAACGACATTATACAACGCCTTAGTCGTACCGGTCGCGCTCTAGACTATTAGGCGTATAGCTTACTATATCTGCTATAGTATATTAACGATAGGATAAGGTATATACCGGCTGGTTTAAGCTATTAATCTATCCGTCTACGTCCCGGTACCGATCCTACGGAATATCGGCAACTCCGATCTATTGTTGCCTATCGACTAGTACGTCTATCCGGCCTCCGATACGTAGAGACCCCTATAGACGACTTTACGGGTACCGACGTCGGTTACGGCATTAAGATTAGTAATAAGGATAGCGACGAGGACAACGATAATACTATAGTAGAGGATTATACAGTCGTAGTTAATACGTACGATCTAAACCTAAAGAATCGTAGTTAGACAGAGTTTATAATATCTATACGAGACAAGCTCCCTCTAATTATACGTCGTCTATAGAACTAGTTCTATTATCCGAATCCAGCTATACGGCTATACTTCTATATAGTATTATACGAGTACTATAGGGAAGACCTTAAGATATACCTAGCTAAGGCGATAGTACTCGGTATAGAGAAGTGCTATAGCTATTATAATCCTATATTAGAAGATCTCGCCAAGTAGGACGTCGAAGTACTAGAGCTACCGAAGCTAATAGCGAAACCGAGAGCTAGTAGTAAGGCTACCTTTAGAATAGTATATTTAATTCTATAGTTCGAAGCTAGAGCTAATCGTACTTTTAGAGACCCCCTATAGAATATACTATTCGAAGTCCTATTCGATATAATCATTCCTGCCGAGTTAGTATTCGAACTCTTGCGTATAAATATAATAAACAATATATAGCTATTCCTAGACAACGATACCGATACTAAGATCGTCGAAGCGGATATTAAAGAGTACGTACCTAAGTTCTATAAGTAGTATACGTCGAACCCGGACAATACAGACCTAAGTAGCGATATTCTAATATTCCGCGTTTGTTCTTAGATAAACGTAATCAACCCGATAATACAACAAGACTATACTTAGTATCGGATAGAAGCTAAGACAAGACTAGTAGATAAGAGATAGGCAAAAGGATAGGCTCGGACTATAGGTCCGGCTAGGCGTACCCTATTAATAGATAATTATCGCTAGAACTAGTAAGACACTATAGTCGCTTCTACGAAGGCCGGTATATTAGCTCGTCGTACGATATATACTACCGCCGGTCGGATACAAACGGAGCAATTAGCGGAGCTATATAGTACTTAGTAGCGAGTTCGAGGAAAGGGACGTACTATATTAGTACCGCGAACACCGGGTAGACGTTCTTCTACCGAGCGACTAAGAGCTCGTCGTAGAGGTAGCGGAGATAACGAGTTCTCTAACCTAATATTCGATATACTAGTAGTATTACGAGCTTTGCGTAAGACTAATAAACAGCGCTATAGCGGCCGTATCCGTATAACGACCTAGTAAAACGAGAACTAGTATAGCCTAGTATATAAGTTCGACGACGAGGGTAACCTAATTATAACTGCTATTAGCGGCAGATAGGTCGATGCCGAAGAAGCCGCTTATATAGAGAGGCGCGGCCTTAGTTTAAGTCTAGTAGTATTGTCGCCGGGCCTAGTATTACTCCGTATAGTAGCGGGTCGAATAGAGGATCTATTCCGTAGTAGTATTACTCTAACCCGTAATAGTAGCCGTATCCTATCGGCTAATATATTCGAAGCGCTACGACGAAGAGACATCCTTAGTCGCTCTCCTATATCTACTGCTACTACTAGCTCCTCTGCTACTACTAGCTCCTCTACTACTACTAGCTCCTCTACTACTACTAGCTCCTCTACTGCTGCTAGCTCCTCTACTACTACTAGCTCTTCTACTACTACTAGCACGTCTGCGACTATTAGTTCTACCCCTACGGCGCAACCGCGTCGTCGCAATCTAAGGCAGAATATACCTACCGACTAAGAGATAAGATATATAGTTTCGATAGCCGGTAGCGAATTGTTCTAAGATATATACGTAGTAATAGCCGATAACGAATTGTTCTAAGACGTATACGTAGTAATAGTCGGCTTACTAGTAGCGAATTGTTCTAAGATATATACGTAGCGATAGCCGATAGTAAATTGTTCTAAGACGTAGGAGCGGTACGTCTTAAAACAAATATAAATCGCGCCGCGCTTCTGCTAAGCCCGAGTCGAACTAATTATTAAACATTATATCTTCTATACCTACCTATCTACTCCTATTGTTATCTTATATAACGTATATTATAGTAGACAACTTCGATAGCGATATATAGTATACATATAGTCGATTTAGTATATACGAAGCTATATACTATTCCTCCCTAGTCGATAGCCCTATAAATTGAAAGCTTTACGATACTACTATACTATATAGAGACATACGTATATAGGCCTCGTCATAGGTTGGGTTGGGTATGGGTTGGGTACAACCTAACGTTAATACCCAACCCCGCAAATAAGGTAGGTACCTAGCTTATAAGCTGGGTACAACCCAACGGAAAAAACCCAATAGGTATACCCAATAGGTATTGCGATGGGTATTACGTAAAACCTCTTCTAGATATAGAATAAATATAGTAAGCGCTTCTAGAACAGTAATAAGCCTCGTATATACCGTACTGCCTGAACTCGCTAACAATAGCTGCCGACCATGCCTGCCGACTACGAGAATTGGGAAAAAGCAAATTAATTCAGGAGTTTACAGTAAGTACTTCGATATCTCCTTCTATAGCTAATAATACCTGCCGACTATACCTGCCGACTACGAAAATTAGAAAAACCAAATCACTTCAGATCTTAGGCTTATAGTGAATGCTTCAACATCTCCTTCTCTAGCCTAGCTAGAACGCGTATCTAGTGTTTAAACCGACTTTCGGTTACTATATGCTACTGCCTTACTCTCTAGGCCTTACGTATCTCTATTCTTCGCTAGGCCGCTTAGAAAGCCGGCTCCGTCCTTATTAATAATAGGGTCCTTAAACAAGTAGCTCCAAGGATAAAGCGAGCTGAAATTTCTGTCTCTAGTCTGTCTCGTTCGGTGATAGGCTCTTCTATAAGTATACTTAGTATCTTGTCGATACTTCCCCTAGCTACGAATTCTTACGTACCCCGATTATTCGCTTGATCTATAGCTACCGTATACGCTGCCCTTGCTATATCCTCTAATTCTGTTATCTCCTCGTCAAACTCCTACTGCGACTCCTCTTCTTTATCCTCTCTCTCTATATCTGGTCGACTCTCCTAGAGAGAATTAGGACCCGTCTCCTCTAAATCTGGATAATCGAAAGGATTGTAGTCTTAGCCAAGCGAGATATCTTGATCCTAGGTACCTATATCCTCGTCGCTATACTGAAAATCTGCTTGACTAAGCGGTATACCTAGTTGCCCAAAAGGAAAATCTGAATTCTCGGAAGCTATCTCCTCGTCTTCTTCTTCTTAGGTATTAACATAATCGAGGAGAGCCTAGAGATATTTATCCTCTGTCGTTAGGGGTACCGTATTATCGTCCTAAGCATTCTCCTTATTAGCTGGAGGATAACTAGTTTGAACGCTAGGATCAGTATCTAGATCGTATTCCGAGCTCTTATTACCGCTCGAAATTACGATAGTCGCCTGCTTCTTACCGTCTGAATCGTTCAAACCCCTATTATCCTAATCGGCGCCAGGAGGATCTTAATCGTTCCCGTCTGTCTAGCTACTAGTACCTGCATTATCCTAATCGGCGCTAGGAGGATCTTGATCGTTCCCGTCTGTCTAGCCACTAGTATCTACATTATCCTAATCGGTGCTAGGAGGATCTTGATTGTTCCCGTCTGTCTGGCTACCGGTGTCGCTATTATCCTAATCGGTGCTAGGAGGATCTTAATTGTTCCCGTCTGTCTAGCTACCGGTATCGCTATTATCCTGATCGGTGCTAGGGGGATCTTGATTGTTGGCGTCTGTCTAGCTACTAGTACCGGTTTGAGTACCCGTTTAAGCGCTAGGGTTATCGGGATTATCTAAGCTCTCGTCTTCGCTTAAGGACGCGGGAGTCTTCTTTCTCTTCTTCGCAGTCGGCTTCTTTAGAGTTAGCTTCGATTTCGTCTTCTTCGTCTTTGATCGAGGCTTATACATCGTACTCGGGTTAACTAGGCCAGAGCTATAGGGAGCAACTACGTAATTGTCTAGCTAGACATTCTACTCCTTTAGCAGCCTACGAAGACATTCGAGATCTTTCGCTATTACTATAACTCGCTTGTAGTAGATAGCGAGAAGATTAGCTAACGAAAAGACTTTCGTTACTATACTCTCGCACTGTTCCTAGAGGATGCCGAGTGCGCTCGCTTGGATCCGTATAGGGAGGTAGTCTTCGGTAAAAAGGATAATAGTATCCCTAACGATACGTACGAACGCGAGCTTTAGGATATAGTTTATAACCTCCGTCTAGCATTTTTTGATCTTCTACAAAGCTCCCTCTAAAAGAAATGTTAGTATATGCCGACCATATATACCGACTACGTCTGCCGACTAGGTATACTTACTGCCTCTCTTTTTTTGATTTTTCTTTACACCTGCGGATAGAAGCCCTTTCCTACCTATTACGCTAGGGAGTCTCTTTCCAGATGTTCGTAGTACCTTTCTGGCGATTGAAAGCTTACAGCGCGCTGCGAGTAACGGCGCTATAACGATGGTAGTAGCAGGCGGTATAGTAGGTAGAGCAGTAGGCGGAGCAGCAGGCAGAGCAGTAGGCAGAGCAGCAGGCGGAGGCTAGGAGGGGTTGTAGCGGGTAGGGGGCGGGGCGGGAGGGGGGGGGTTAACAACCAATGTTGATGTCGCAAGTTAGGTTTTTTTGGAAGTAGGGAATACCTTTGAAGGCGGCGGAATTCAGGGTCCAGGGGCGCGACTAATTAGAAGCGAGGGATTCTTTGTCTACGTAGGGTAGGCACCTGCCGTTTTTGGACAATAGAAGTGAGAAATAGTAAAGTGAGATCGCCGGAAATAGGAAATATTGATATAACGACCGTATAAGCAGTGCCTAGCCCGTAAACAAGAGACCTAGAGATTTATATAGATATGATTAGTACGGGAGACAACATCTTACGGAAGCTCGTTTTCGGGTTATCTTATACATCTGGTACTAATTCTTTAAGTACTAGCCTCGAAAACGATGTTAGGAGTATATAGTCGGCAGACGTAGTCGGCGAATTGCTATAAGATCAAAGCTCGGCACTTGAATTCGCTTCTCCTGCGAAGCGCTTCCGAATCCAGCGACAAAGTTTCATGTCCTTCTATTGTAAGGTTACCCGTTTTGCGTAAATCGCTAGTATATTAGAGACTTCGAACTCCTATATAAGAAAAGCTTCCGTTGCTTCCTACAAGCAAAGTAGAGCCTTAGCTTGAAAACGGCATACACTATTGCTAGCATTAGTTGCCAAATCTATCGTAATCTCTCGACAAATCCTTGAGAATAGAAGTCGGCGTATTAAAAGCTCCGTAGACTTCTGGTATTTCCTGATTTCTCGGAGAGCGGCTATACTAGCCTTCGTTCGTCTTCTCGCTTTAGGCGCCTTTCGAACAATAGGCTTTTTCTGTAGTCGTTAACTTCCTAGTAGTCTCTTATTACTAGGATAGGTCTTCTGTACCACTTTTTTCGTACGTCCTAGTCTCCTTGCGGCGAGACTTGGTCGAGGGGAAGCTGTATTAGAGAGCTGTCGGTCTGATCTATTATAGATAACATATAGCCCCTTTAGTTGAACCGATACTACCCCGTCTCGACCACGCCGCTTGGTCGGCAGGTCTGAATCTTCGTTCGTCTTATTATTATTAACTTAACCTGCACCTCTATCTACCTGCCTCTCCTCCGTCTGCCTCTCCTCCGTCTGCCTCTCCTCCGTCTGCCTCTCCTCCGTCGGCTTAACCGTCTGATCTAACTACTGTCGAGTCCTCTTATTACTTCCGCTATCGTAGGCAGCCTTCGGGAGTGCTTTAGCCTTCGTTTCTTTTTAACGCGGACTATCTCTTCTTTCCTGGTCGTCGTCGTCGTTAGGAAGAGAGGAAGAGACGTAGGAAGAGAGAGATTGTATGTCTATGTTAGGCATTTTGAGAGTTTCGACTTAGTAGGAATATGTAGGATAAGAAAAAAGCAAGAGAGGATAAGTTGGTAGGTATAAGGAAGACCCGGAAATCGCTAAGCCGCTTATCTCTCGAGTATGTCGGATCGCGCGGGAAGGTAATTAGTAATCAGGACAGGGGTTCTATATATATCTATACTAGTATATTTCATATTATATCATATGGTTTATACGCCGACTACGTCTGCCGAACACGTTCTACTCTAGCTACGAGATTTCACTTTTTTACTAGAAAGTACTACGATACCTTAAGAAGTTAGTAGTCTAACTATTTCTCTAGATAATGTAGTATTTATATATAATACCCTATAGCAGTTGTCCTAGTAATAGCGAATGAAGCGACAACAACTTATATTCGAAATAAAATTTAGGTAGGGGGGGGGGCACTTAGGAAATCGACGATAATAGTAGTAGCAGAGGAGCTTAGTATAGGCGCGGAAGTGTAATGTTGTTATAGAGGGTGGTGTCGGTGCTCGGGGTTACGGGACAGGGTTCCGGCTGCTGCCTAAACCTTAAATCTCTCAGATAAGAGAAATTTTATTTCTTAAAGCGCTTCTACCCTACGTATCTACCTCCGCACGTACTACCGTACGCACTACCGCACCTACCTCCGTACCTACATCCCTACCTACGTCCGCACCTACCTCCGTACCGATACCACTATGCCGAAACGGAAGAATGTTACGCTAGAGGCGCTGGAAAATAAGCGTGCTAGGCTCGGGGCAGCTGCGAAGTCACTTGAAGAATACTCTCTAAAGCCGAATACCCTACGGGAGCGCGAGCGTACTACTGCTATAGACGAAGAGAAGAGAGCTCAGGATCGATATAGAAAGGCTCGTAATAAATCGTTCGTATAGTTTAAGAAGGCTTAGATCAAGCAGTCTAGCGAGTTTAGCGAGCTAAGTAGGGACCGTCAAGCTGCTCTAGTTAAGGAATAGAGATCGATATATATAGCAGAATATGACCGGAAAGCGTAAGTTTCGTAGTCGGCGTCTATAGTCGGCATCTGCGGTCGGTATTCCTACTTCCTATTAAAGGCTAACTTCTCTAGTGCTAAGAAGTAAGTAGAGACTAATCTAGCTCTCTTACCCGACGAACAGGCCGAAATCGATAAAGCTAACTGGTTCCTTAAGCTTGGAGATAGTAAAAGCAAATCAAAGATAACATTTCAAAAGGAGGATTAGGTTAAGTAGGAATAGGATACCCTTACCCTTAGTGAACGATGCGATAAAGCACTTAGGGGCCTTAGCAACGAATGCCTTCCTTAAGAAACGATTCTTAATCCTTTGTTATCAAAAGAGATTGACAAGGAGATAGCGAACTCTATTAGAACTTTTGCCTTTCAGGCAGCCTCTTCTACTTTTGCGACTGCTTATAACCAATAGCATCGCTCGATCCGGAAGTTCTAGAACAAACTTGTTGCTCTAGAGAGTCTAGTTCTCCCTAACGAGGCAGCTATAAAGCAGATTTCACAAATTGTCGACAGCGAGACTAAAAAGGTAAGCTTATCTGCCGACTATACCTACCGACTATTTTCTAATAATCCTAGATCTGCGTTAGAGAAGTACGACTCCTACTGCTATACGAGATTTTCAGCCCAATCGAGCGCGCAGTCTGCCGTAGTATCCTTGCCTAGGATGTCGCAGCCTAAAGGGCTTATTCAAGTGGTCTTCCTAGACCCTCCTAGCTAATACTAGAAAATTATAACTACTCCGCTAATGGTTTCCTTCTATTAGTGAGCTTGAAAGGGGAGAAGCACCTCGCGAAGATAGTATACAAGCTCTATAAGAGGGAGAATACTCTGAGCCGCGAACAGACTCTCTAGCCTAAGATAATAGCTGCCCTTATCGAGTACAATGTTAAAGAGTATAATAGGATTACTCTAGAGGCCTTTCTACTCCTACTACTACGAGAAGATAAACTATACCTAGCATCTTCGGGAATCGAGAAGGTACTTACGAAGGACTCTATATTCGCAACTTTGTTAGAGGGTTCGAGATTTCAGACTCGGAGGACTAGGAGCCTCGCCTGTTTCAAGAAGACGAAGAGGGATAGAAGAAAGGGTAGGAGGGTTGGTAGTAAGAATCAGACTATCTAATAGGTTAGCTCGCAGCCGGAAGTAGGCCTGCGAATTCTATTCGCTCAACCCCTATAGGGTAGCGTACTAGGATTCTGAAATTCCTACTTTCCCTCCTTTCAATTCCTACGTTCCCTCTCCTCTATCCTCTCGTAACGGATTTACGACGTCGGAGTCTGAAATACTATGTTTTCGTCTTCCTTTGCTTCCTCTCTAGGAGTCGGAAGCTCCCGATTCGAATCCTCCTCGCAGCTAGGAAGCTCTTCTGCTACCCCTATACGATCGAGCGCTCGCTTACGCCAACGATATAGTTCTGCGACGAACCTCCTACCGAGCCTAATACTAGGGGACCGCCGACGTAGAACAGAGGTTCGCAAGCGTCGTACAAGACGGCCGACTATAGTAGAAGAAGATCTAGATTCCTCTCTAGTACTCCCCGTTAAGCCGGACTATATCGGGGAGTAGGATATTAAGGCTAACTACTAGCTATAGAGGTTCAAGTATAAGGAGAACTTTGAGAAGTAGTACGAGGTACGCTAGTAGAACTATACTAGGAAGCGGCTTAAAAAGCGGAACGGTCGTACTATGTTTAATCGGTCCCTAGTTACCTAGGGGAGTAAGTCTCGGATATCTTAGGTATAGGATTTCCTAGAGGAGGGAATGCTTTAAGAAGATACGACACCTAAAGTCGTATATAGGTGCTGTAACGCTGTACTAAAACATCCTATACTGAATACCGGTACAACGTCTGTCGAGAAGTATCTGGACTCCTCGAACTACTAGGAGAAACAAGATAAGCGAGGGTTTACGAAGGAGATGTTTACAATCGCAAAGCATCGACAAGTAAGTACTAACTACCGACGACCAGACCTGCCGACTATGCCTGCCGACCATGCCTGCCGACTACGTCTAAGTAACTATACTGAAACTTTATCTCTAGACTATAAGCAATCCGCGATAGACGAGGAACCTAGGCTATACACCGGACGATTTCCTGCGCTTATCCTTCGAGATAATTATCGATAATAGTCTACTATTCCAGTTCTTTGAACGACCGTTAGTAAAACAGACTTATATAGCCCTACTCCCGGGACAGGTCGAGACAATTCAGTTCAAATCCGCCTCGACATACCGTAGGATGCTCGGTACTAAGGTTTAAGAGTCTGCTGAATCCCTTAAGACCTGTCTTACTAGTAGATTTAAGATAGCTATTGCGTATAATAGCTGGCAATCTAGAGGTATAAAAACCTTATTCCTTACTATCCGGGTCTACTAGATTAACGACTACTAGGTCTGGTACGAAGGGATGCTTGGCTTTCTATATATTACTAGCCGTTATACTAGTAATTACCTTGCGGAGATACTATTCGAAATCTTATAAGAGTTCGAGATTAAGTACCGATTGACTGCAATTACGTACGACAATGCCTCGAACAATAAGACCCTATACAATGCGATATAAGACCACTTGCTTTACTCTTCCTACTTCCTTCTAATATTCTATAGTGTTTTAGCGATTGATACTTGTTAAGAGAGGTACGGTATAACGGCTAGGAGGCTAGTAACGAGCTTAGAGGAAGGTACGGAGAGCAGTCCCGACTCGGAGATAGGAGAGGATAAGGAGGAGGCAATCGCGGAGCATAATCGAGCTAGCCGTCCCGAGCGATTTCCCTGCTTTGTATATACTGCCTAGCTTCCCTTAAAGGCCTTTTTCGACCGCCTAGGGCTCTGTCCGACTAACGACCTTTCCGAATACTAGGATTACGAGAAAGATCGGCAGATATTATAGAGGAGGAGAAAACAGAGTAAGCAGATTAGCCGCCCTCAAGCTAATAGTATGCCTTACCTCCTTCTGAAGGTAAGATTAGTCTCTACGGCCTATCGCCTGTTAACCTTCCTATTTTCAAAGTATAGTCGGCTCTCGTAGTCGGCAATTATAGTCGGCACTCGAGATTCCCTTCGCTGATTTCGATCCCTAGATCCGGAAACTTTGCGTCTTTATCAACTCGAGCTCTTAAAGGTTCGAGCAGTTTATCGACCTGTAGAAAGAGATACTTTAAAAGAAGGAGCTATTTGCAAAGCACCGTCGGTGGAATAGCGTTCAAGATCGGATCCTAAGGGTCGTTCAAGACGTAAAGACAAGGTAGTCCTTAACAACGTTAATGCTCGATCGCTTCAGCAGACTGCAAAGAGTTATCGAATCTTATATCGATCGACTCGACCTAAGTAAAGATATAGGTATCGATTCCGAAGAGTAGCAAAGGGTTAAGTACCTTATCGACCTTACGAAACCATTCGTAGCGGCGACAGCAACGATCGGAACAACGAAAGGTCCGACTAT